CTACGCGTATCGGCCTCCAAACGACTCAAATCTAGTCACAAATAACTCAGTATCAACAAATATTGCCATAGGAAACAACTTCAAACAATAAAGTTTAGATCTTTATCAAAATCAAAAAGTCAACAACGAGCTCGCACATCGAAACCCGGCAAAATTTACAAATTCTGAACATCCATTCAATTACGAGTCCAACCATACCAAAATCATCCAGTCCCGACCTCAATCGACCTTCAAATCTCCATTTTTTATTTTTCAAAATTTTCTAAAAAATCCCTAATTTTCCTACTTCGAATCACCAAATAAATGATAAAAATAAGGATGGAATCATGATAAACAAATAAACCCGCGTCAAAAACACTTACCTCGATCTAAGACGTGAAAATCCCCTCCAAAATCGCCCAAAATCGAGCTCTACAGCTCAAAATGATATAATAAGTCTAACCCTCGAAATGGGTTTTAATATTTTGCCCGAGAGTTATGCATCGTGGTCGCGGGACCTATATCTCGGTCGCGAAGAACAAATAATCAATGCCCTCCAAAATAGTCTATGTGAACGTGAAGACACAGTCACAAACGCGATGCTTGCCAAACCTGACTCTTCGGGAACGCGTGCACACCTACGTGATCGCGTAGGCTTAAAGCCTGACGCTCCAGCTGACCACTCCTCTACGAAAACGCGTGAACCTCCTCGTGTCCGTGATGACCTGAGCCTAAAAACATAAACGAACGCGAGCTGACTATCGCGAATGCGAGCTGACTATCACGAACACGAATAATAAATTTCCAGCTGCCAACAACAACTCTTCGCGATCCCGTCCCTTTCTTCGTGATCGCGAAAGTGGAAACTAGATACAAAGAAACTCAGCAGTTCAGCAAAGTCCAAAATGAAGTCGAACTTGATCTGAATCATAGCCAAGGCCCCCGGGATCCCATCCAAACATACCAATAGGTCCTAATACACTATGCGAATTTAGTCGAAACTTCAAATCACATCAAACAATATCGAAATCACGAATCGCACCCCCATTTCAAGCCTAATGAAACTTATGAACTTCCAACTTCTAAAACCGATGTCGAACCATATCAAATCAACTCTGAATGGCCTCAAATTTTGCACAATAGTCCCAAATGATAAAACAGACCTATTCCAACTCCCAGAACCAAAATCCTAATCTGATATCAATAAAATCAACTCTCAGTCAAACCTCTCAAACTTCCAAACATTTAACCTTCCAACTTTCCAAAAAGCCTCAAACTAACCTACGGACCTCAAAATCAATATCTGGATATATGCGTAATTCCAAAACCATCATACGAAGCTATCCAAAATATCAAAACTCCATTCTAGAGTCATTTACACAAAAGTCAAACTCCGATCAACTCTTTCAACTTAAGCCTTCAACTTGAGAGTAAGTGTCTTAATTCACTTCGAAACCTTTCCGAAATCAATCCAACCACCCCAAAAAGTCACATAATCATAAATAAACATAGAAGGGCCAATAAATAGGGGAACGGGGCTACAAAACATAAAATGACCGACCGGGTCGTTACAATCTCTATACCTTTTCTATCCCATCTATATTTCGTCCCTTTTGAAGTTGTTGTTAATGAATATGGCATGTTGGCTTTTTAAATTTGTAATATTTGTGTTGTTGGTACTCCTGTTACTTTGTTTTTAATTATTATCTCAAATGGGAAATTTCAATCTATTTTGTGCAATATTATTCACTTGTGTTCTGTTTTTTACCATGTTTGTGTGCACATAAGTGGCATGAGTCAATGTTGCTGGACTTCTTTTTGCATGTACTAATTTTTTCCTTCTTTTTAATGATGCCAAAAGGGGGAAGGGAAGATAATTGAGGGGGGCAACAGTTGAATCTGGGCGTCTGATTTGTAGGGAAACATGCTGAGAATCCGGTTCTCAGGGGAATATCAATTATGGGTTTGTCATCATCAAAAAAGGGGAAAATTGATAAGTTATACTATTAAGGTGTTGATGATTTGTCAAACTTTATTGAGGATTCAGATAGGAACCTGATGCAATCAGTTCCTTTGCGTCTGCTGTAATATTTTTTGATGTCTGGCCAAACGTTCTCGAGGAACCAGATAAGGGAACAGACATGATCAGTTCTCCAACTGTCGTACAGTCAATCCTACAGCTGTAAAAGTTGTTTCACTGTACCGACTAGAAGCAGTATGGCGGCACAACCGCTACTACTAGAGGCCAAACCAAAAGTTGTATTGTCTCTATCTATTCTCACATGCTATCTCATATATATAGCACATGATACAAGGTTTAACCTAACACTTAATAATCTAAAAAATCTATCATCTCAAGTGCCAGCCACCACTGTTTTACTGTACCAACTGGAAGCAGTGTAGCGGCACATCCGCAACTGCTAGAGGCCAAACCAAAAGTTGTATTGTCTCTATCTATTCTCAGATGTTATCTCATATATATAGAACATGATACAAGGTTTAACCTAACACTTGATAATCTGTAAAATCTATCATCTCAAGTGACAAGCATCACTGTTTCCTCCAAGTGCACTCAAGAACAAAGCTGCTACAAACCAAGGACTAGATCCCAACACTGATGATGTCTTGGGTCCTTATGTTTGTTGAGTCTTTGTCTTTTGTTATTTACTTGTAAACCTATGTGGCTTTCTAGAAGTATTTGTAGGACATTATTCAACCATTGTTGTTTTGATTGTTTGACTAGAGTTAGTCAAAGAGTGTTTCTTTGTAATAGAGTTGTTACAAAGAGTTTATAATAGAGTTATTGTAAGGAGTGAGGGATTAAGAGTTAAATTCTTAGATTGCAATAAGTTATAATTTGAAATCAGCTCAGTTTAGTGGAGTTAAAATCCTACTGGGGTATCGTGATTTTTAATCCCTTGAGCAAGGAGTTCTCCACGTAAATATGCATGTTTTTTACTTACTGCTGGTTTACTGCGGGAACTAGTAGAAAACATGTTTCTCTATACTGTTTGGTGGACTCCTAATTTCTATCAATAAACATACAGAAGCATGTCTTGTTACATACGTACGAGGGAGGATAGTGTAAAACAAGATTAAGGGAATGAGGTAGATGTTCCTAATCCTAAATGAGTGCTAGTAATTGGGGAAGGTGGTGTTGGCTACCAATATATATATATATATATATATATATATATATATATATATATATATATATACACACACAACCCATTCAACTTGGCCCCATTTTTTATTTTGGCACTCTATCTCAACTTTGTTCCATTTTGACCCTTCAACTCTATATTATATGTTTCATTTTGGCCCTCCAACTCTATTTCTTATGTTTCACTTAACACAAAAGCTGAAACCAGTGCAAAAAATATAGCGCGTGTGTATATACAAATCTGAGGTGTAATAAATATCCATTTAAATGTTGCCACGTGATTTTTTCATCCATGTCAAACGGGTCAATACTAAAATACTCGAACCTGACCGTATATTTTGATCTACTGTTGCCCCATCTTCATACTCAAAGTTCCAAAGCTTTCATCCGTCGATTTCATACCTGGCCATCCAGAAAAATTCAAACTTTTGCAATTTTATTGTTCGTTTATTTATTCTGATTTTTTTTGTGGGTTTATTTCATCTAAGCTTGAAGTTGAAGTGAATCCATGTCTCAAAGAAAACTTTTTTTTCATAATGGAATGAGTATTTGTTCTTGTGGATTTCAAGTTGAACTGAAAGTATCATGGACAGCAAGAAATTCAGGTCGCCGATAGGTGTAAATTTTACAAAGTAAGTGAACCATTTTCGGATTTCATTTTCAGTGTTGTCATTTTCTTGTGTAGATAAGAAGCGGACTTAATTTTACCCAAATACGGTCGGGTTTCAGGTATTTTAGTATTGACCCGTTTGACATGGATGAAAAAATCAGGTGGCAACATTTAACTGGATATTTATTACACCTCAGATTTGTGTATACACACGCGCTATATTTTTTGCGCTGGTTTCAACTTTTGTGTTAAAGTGGAACAAAAAAAATAGAGTTGGAGGGCCAAAATGGAACAAGGTTGAGATAGAGTGCCAAAATAAAAAAATGATGCGAAGTTGAATGGGTTGTATATGTATTTGGCCTATATATATTAATTTCACATGATAACTATGTTATTAAAAGATTGTTGAATTTTTGCCTATAAATGAAAGAAAAGAAGTTTGATATTGGTACGGTCGGATCCATTATAAGAGAGCAATTTTGATCACGACAGATTATTTCTTTTTCCGATATACGAAATAGAGCATTTCACTAAGTTAATTCTTAAAAATTGTTGAATCATACCATTTGCCTTATTTCAATAAAAGCACGGGTTACATTTCGTCTGCACAAATATAGAGTAATTTTGTCCACCAAATTGAACTGATGGAAAAAAATTACCTCAATATTTTTGCCTACTCTAAAATTTGAACCTGAGGGTGTTGGCTTCCAATATATCCATGTCCTTCTGCCAAGTGAACCAATAGTTGAAGAGCAATACTCAAAGGTTAGATTTGAAAAAAGAAAGAGAGGACATGTTCCCACTTGGGATTTTCGGACTTATCCTAAGTCCCAACTCCCAACATCTTGTGGTCCACTATTTTTTTATATTCTCACCCTTAATAAGAGAGTCTAGAGAAAGAGGACAGCATCATTTTGCCACGTACACGTCTCAGCCATAGTGCAGCGCAATACATTTCTGGTGCAGAGACGATGAAGGTGCTAACCCGACCACTAAATCTAGCAGGTCCAGGGCAAATCAGGTACAGGTTCAAATTTTGCCACATTTCTTGTAGATCAACATCATGTGAGATAATGGGACTAACAAAACAGAAAATTAAAAATGACCATGAAATATCACTATTATGAATTGTTTCATTATTTTATTATTTCGTTGCATTCATTTACAAGAAGAAACCACCACCAGTGTATGGTGCAGGAATTATTATCAGAATTTGATACATAACATGAAAATTTCCAAATTCATGTCTTAAATTAAATGAGTGGATTTAGAATGGATAGTATTCTAATTAGGAATTCAGCAATATGCTCTCTTTGTTCCTTGAGCAAGTAATTCACATCATTCAGTACTTCAGTGAACAACTTTTTCTCCCACAATTTGAAAGAGTATGGATTCCCCGAACTTTACAAGAAACTATTATACACTTGTATTTCTTTCTCCCTTTGTTTTTCGTTCTTCATTTCTTCTCTCTAACTTATACATGGATATAATTATTGCAACAACTTAAATACACTGTACACCTAACAATCAGCCTGTCAGTTTTACCTCTGTGGAAATATCCCAACCTAAGTATCAACAAACACTTATAAGATCCATCCCGATGCCTTTATTCCACTTTTCTGCCTTAACCAGATCGTCGTCTTCATGCTCAACAACAACAACAACAACATAACCAGTATTATCCCACACCGTGGGGTCTGGGGAGGGTAGATCCATCCCGATGCCTTTATTCCACTTTTCTGCCTTAACCAGATCGTCGTCTTCATGCTCAACAACAACAACAACAACATAACCAGTATTATCCCACACCGTGGGGTCTGGGGAGGGTAGTGTGTACGCAGACCTTATCCCTATCTTGTGAGGATAGAGAGGCTGTTTCCAATAGACCCTCGGCAACCAGATCGTCTTCATGCATTCTCCATTAATCATCACGCTTTGACTTTGAGTTTAACCCTCTCTTCCCTTTTCTTTCAGTCAAATGGCGACTCCGCCAGATCTTTTATCCACGTTCTGTTAATGGCTTCACCTGCTGGCGTTACGTGTGTAGCTCATCTGAAGCATGAGCAAGATATGTTAGTGTTAAGCAACCTTTGTCCTAAACACTTTGTAGCTATCTCTAAAGACTAGTTCTCTGCTCTTATATCAGAGACAACTCAGGGGTGCAGCATGACAAAAATAGGGGATGAAAAATGGCATCGGTAAGCTTCACATCACGAGAAAGATATCTTTCCTAAAATACTGACCCCTTTTTAACTGTCATTTCCATTCTAAAAGCACCTAACAATTATTGTTATTATTTTCTTTTAAACAATGGAAAGATTATCTTTTTACAAGAAAAGGTAGTTTTATCAGGTAATGGATACACTAAAGGCATTCCTTTGATTTTCCTTTGGCCAATTTGAAAAGGTGCATAAGGAAGAAGGATAATTTCACACAACGGGGCCGGAGAGACGGCAGACCTTAGCTCAGGTAAGATCTGTCTTTGATTGAGCGAATCCTGCCCGATTTTGATTTCCGTCCCGTGGGAGACATAGTAAATAGTTAAATGTTTGATTCCCTTGTTAGGGAGTGGCGACATACCTGCAACATCTAGACCGGAATACGACGGGAAGCCAAGCACCAGGCAAACCCAATGGAAGCTATATCTAATTGGGTGATTGGCAATGTACACAGCACGTATTAGCTTTCACTGTGACCTGACCTAGATCTAGAATGACTAGGTCTTTTCCTCAATATCTCTGCTTCTCTAGCTATCTGGATGTCCGATGGCCAGAAAATTTGGTGCATAATTTTGAGAATAAAGCGAGGAAGCAGAGCCAGAACTATAATAAGCAAAATTAAGAGCCAGTAGGCCGGTGACTTCACCAGCTGATAAATTGTACTGCAGAAGACAGAAAAATTATGTTACATCATAGACCTCTTAATCTAAATGTAAAGAAAGTTTAGATGTAATATATTAGGACTTCAGCGGAAATACTAACCCATAATTAGGGAAGACAGGTATAGAGTCCAGCACCACCAAACAGACATACGTGATAATAATTGACCCCCACACTGCCATATGAGTATATATTACCCAGCGCTGTATGTCCATTGCCAAGTGAATGTTGACAAGGATCACTACTGCAATTGTCCACAAGCTACCCATACTCCATATGTCAACATCGCTCTGATGATAAGTGAATAGTGGTACATAAAAAAGAACAAGGCTCTGCCAAACTGTATCAATCATGGTGACCCAGAAGAGTTTCATATTGTAACTTTCCTGTCTGTGGCCAGCAGCATAGAGTTTAGGATACTCAAGTAGTGTCTTATGACTTAAGTCCTTGTCCAGAATACCAACAATTACTGTAGGTACGGAAGTATAGATGACAGAATAAAACATACTACTCCAATCTGTTAATGCAGAAGTTGCAGAAAAAGCTGTGCACAATATGTACCTACAGACAACAGATTACAGGACAAATACGTTCAGATAACTGTTTCATATTGTGTTTTTCCAAACTGCAAATCACATTCTAGGAGAGATGAGAAAAAATTCAAAAAATAGTAACTATAATGCATGATAACAATAGCGGATTTAGTAAACCAAGCTCAGGTTTCCAGCATGCATACAAATACGATATATATATCATTGTCCTCTAAATGCGACTCAACTGCCAGCTAGCATAAACTGGCTCACACCAATTATCTGGGACAGCAACCTCAAAGTCCTATAAAAGCTTGACAATACATGATTGATATGTTTGACCAGACTCCTTACATGTACTGAAAGTCTGAAACAGCTAAACTTTCCTCCCCTTTGTTGGTTGCAAGCTTTTAGAACTGCCTTACACCCCATCTGAACAGATATCGCCACTTCCCTGGAATTCTCGACACTCACAGGCCATTATACACTATTTTACACTTTACACATAACACACATGTGTGCCCACCCCGTTTATCACTCAAACCACTTGAACAAAATATTGCCACTTCCCCTGGTACCCTTTTAAACAGAAAGCTACCTGTAAGATCTCACTCGGACTCTGCCACTATTATTCCTTTTTCCATTTCCCACAAGATATACCAAATTTATAACTTTAAATCAAGAGCTTATAGCAGCACTGAAGCCCCAGCCCTATTTTGCAGATGACATTTCCATGGGGCTTTTCCAGGTTGTGATGTACATGACCTCAGATGTGTTCTTTTTTTCTTTTTCTTTAACCTTTCTTACTCATTTGTTTGGGGACTTTGCGGAGGGGGGGATTTTTGCACAAAATATCCTATAGAAAGATCTGTATCAAAAAACTAGAAGGAGAAGAAGCCTACCAGAAAAGCATGAAAACAAAAACAGCATTGCGGTAGAAGTTGTAAAGAACCAAATAACCAACACGCTGGTAATTCCAATGTCCATGCACAAGAAGCAAACGCTTCAGAAATCGAAACTGTCCCATAGCAAAGTCTGATGCCATCACAGCTTGGCGCCCTTCTTGACCACATATTCCAACACCAACATCCGCCATTTGGATCATTGAAACATCGTTAGCCCCTGAGAAGTTTCAAAATTAGACCCGGAAAACAGTTGTGCATGCACTTGAAAAACCTTAAAAACACAACATCCCCAAAGATGACACAAAACCTCATCTATATAATTCATACAAACAAGCTCTTTTCGCATCGGACAAAATTCTGATAATATATAACATTTAACATTTGCAGAAAACACCTAATAATATATAGCTAACTCACCATCACCTATGGCTAGTGTCATATCATCAGTGCGGCTCTTTATTAGATCAACAATTCCAGCCTTCTGCAAAGGGGCAACGCGACAGCAAAGCACAACTTTACATGAAGTTGCAAGATCGAAGAGCTGTGACAGGATGGCAATCACAAATAATGGCTCTCAATGTACATCGAAAGGTAAAAGGCTAATGTGTCAACAAGATGTATACTCCCTTTTTCCAAACAAAATAAGGAACCAACAAGATGACTATCGTTAGAAAGGATGAGGTAAAGGATGATTACCTCAGACTCAAGATCTTTCTCTAAAATATACACAAGACTATTCCCATCAATTATGAGTGCTAGAGGTCCAACAGGAATTCCTTCCCCTCCCGCAAGCTGCTGCGGTAATTTATATGACTTTGTACCATTTTCTGCTTCTCTCTGCAATTTTAAGATCCGACTATCACAACTTGTGGGCTTCACGCTGTATTTGGCCTTGGCGTCTGACAATAACCTTTTGCATTCATTTTCTGAAGAGCCATTAATGATGATCTGGTGCATGTCGGAGGTCAAGAGTTTGCAAGACAAACCAATTGAAATTGCAGTTTCTTGCTTATCTCCAGTAAGAACCCAAACCTTTATCCCCGCTTGCCGCAGAGACTCAATAGCTTCTGGTACACCCTCTTGTAGTTTGTCCTCTATTGCGGTGGCGCCAAGTAGAGTTAAATTGCACTCGATTAGAGATGCTGTTTGGCGTAATTTTGCTGATCTGTCATTCAAAGATGTACTAGCATCCTCATACAAGCATTGCCACTCCTCAAGTTCTTCTCCTGTAAGGTCCCTTGCAGCGACCACAAGGGTTCGCAGTCCTTCAGAGGAGTACTCATTCAAATGAGTATAAGTGGCATTTTTTATGTGTTCATGAGTTTCATGCTCTTCGCTTAAAATGCTAAACATTGAAGTTTCAGCCCCTTTGACCAAAACTTTTACAGAATCATCTGGGAATCTAATGACAACAGACATTCTTTTACGCACACTGTCAAACTCATGAAGTCCTAAGACATCCAACCTGCACCAGCCAAAAATTAGTCCGCATTTCCAACGCCTAAGAAGTTATACTTGAGCAAATTACCAAAATTAACAAGAGGAATGCAAGAGAAGAAACCAATGTGTGAATGTGGATGGAAAAGTCACAATGCTATAGATAGCATGCATCACTAACACTTACAATAGTAATCAATACTATTTCATTAACAAGTTCTAAAAGATTCCCTAGGGAAACTAGCACCAAACAATAAACGTGAAGTGAAACGGTCATGTACCTCAGTTTCTCACCCTTGACATCAGTCACAATATGATCAGATGTCCGCTCACACAGTGTATACCCATAAGCAGATGCAGCAGCTACAAGTGCTTGTTCATCAGGAGATTCACCTTGATACTCGATGGTGACATCAGTGTCGTCCACATTGTTCTGTATACCACATGAAGAACTTTTGGTAGGAATAGGAATCACGGTATTACATGCTGCCAACGTCAGAAAAAACTCGTCTGCAGCAATCCTCTCTTCTCCGGCTAGCTTGGCATGTAACAATTGCATTAGTTCAACATCAGTTGGAACTTCTGATTTGATCGTTAACTTTCTTCGACTCGAAGGATGTTGGATTGGTTCTTCTGCACATCATTACAAGAATAACCGTTTGGTTCGGTGCACAAGCAGATTTAGGTGAAAACAAAACCTCAAAAGGAAGAACCAAACAAAGAATGCAGCTGGCTCCTTATTATCAGCTGATATAAAAAGCTATGCATGAACATATTACATGCTCTACACTGCGGAATTAGGGACATTACAATATACGAAAAGAACACCAACTACAAACACAACTAAACAGTCTGTTCTTGCAGATAACTTATGGTCAAACTAGTGATTATTCTTTCGAGAAGAGAAAGAAAACCCCCATAGGCATAGGGAACCATGACTGTTGCTTATGTAGGTAATACAAGAGGACAAATACACCGTTTTAGGTTGACAAGATATAGAAAAATAGATGCTACACGAGAAAAAGAATAACTAAAAAATAAGTGAAAAGGCACTTATGAAAAGAGAGTATTCCATTGGTTACGTTAGCAATGTACTGTCAACCGTGCAGGAGATCAACCTTTTACAATATGAAACATATAGCAGCAGTTATTCGCTTCAGGACATAATTTTTAAAGGAGTTGCAATAATGTAAAATATTGAGTGCGTCAGACTTATAAAAATAAATAAAGATTGAGTGCATCAGAATGAGCAAGCAAAGACAGTGAAGCAGCTTAACACATCTTACATGGAATAGGAATACATTTTGTAGTGTCATAAACTAATAAATCCAAACAATGAGAACAAAATAAATTTAGATCTCATTGTCGCCGTGTAAGATAACTCTTGTTAAATAAATTAACTGCTTGGTATCTGAGGGTGGGAACACACACTAATGAATGACAATGATAAAAAAGCTCTTACTAAATAAATGATATATTCATGCAAGAATTGCATAAGTAAGCGTGCTCTTCACAGCCAATAAGCTCATTTGGGTATCTAATAAACCATAATGTGATGGCAATAGCATTCAAGAAAGATCCAATCCGACTACATCAGGTACATATAATTTTTCTTGGCAGATAGGCAAAGTTACAAATTTTTCTCTTAACAGTGTTGAGCAGTCTACATTCTATAACTGTGACTTCACGCCAACAAATATTTTAACCAGCAGAAGCTGGAATGAAAAATATTCCAAGCATTTCATTGAGACAAAAGGACAGTACTGTCAAGAGAATGAAGCATAAGCCATCTGACATCAAGAATCATCAGATATTAACAACATTAAAACTAACAACTTCTGCATGTTTGCACAAATGGACTGACTTCACTTTTCTGTTTCTAGTTTTCCTGTTAATTACTTTTCCCTCTTGTACCCTTTTTCCTGCTTATTATTTCTGGAAGTACCTAATAGGGAAAATACATAAGCATTCTACAAATGTTCGTTACATTGTCTGATCATGATAATCCTCCAGTTATACAAGTCAAAGATCCAAACTATGTTTAGAAAAATATAGCATACAGTTAGCATACCTCCAATATCTGTGTTTACTGATGCATCAGAGGCAGAAAGGGATCTCCCATAACTTTTTCCCCACACACTAGCTCTTCTGAATTCCATCTTATTTTCAGTAAGTGTTCCTGTTTTATCTGAAAAAACATAGCGAATCTGACCCAAATCCTCATTGATATTTAGGGATCTGCACTGAAACCTAGAATTACTGTTAATATCATACATATGCCTGTCTCCAATCATGAAATACGACTGTCCCAAGCGAACTAACTCCATGGTGATATAAAGAGATATAGGTATCATTATCTGGAAAACTATGATCGAACTCAGAAAGGAGAAAAATGTTTCCATAGGAATCCCATAGTACTTATACTGTTTGCCATGTTTTCCTTCTTCAAAGTAAACTCTTCTGTAATAAGGCAAGGTATCAAGCTGTTCCTCATGGCGCTTCAACCATAGACCCATCCCAATTGCTACAACCAAGCACATCACAAAAAGGAAAATAGACAGCCAAAGTGTTTCCCGGTTCATATATGTTTCCAGCCTGCTTCTTTTAGATGGAGACGCAGTGCTGTTCAACATAGCTTTAGTCTCTTGCCCAGCATAAACTGCTACTCCAACTGCCCATTCTGTGTTCTTCAGCTGGCAACCACGCAATATGATATTCGATTGGCTGAGCGGAAATCTATGCCCATTAAACTCCATATTAGCCGTGAATTCATAAATGTTCCTGTTAGGCTGTTCACATCTAATAACTCCTGAAATCGTCTCCCCTTCACACACTAATGAAGTTGTTTCTTGCCTAGCATACCTTGTCTTCAAGTTTGATTCACCATCAAGATTCATTGTCTGAATATAAGCAATTCCACTAGGATCACTGGTTCCTAACAACACCAAGTCACAGGGAATAGTCTCATTAGCAAGGATCTTCACAATCTCACCGACCCGGATTTTCTTCCATCTTTTTAACTGAAACTTCCCACCAGATTGAAGTACTAGAGCCTCCCGGTTATTCTCGTTCCTATCTGATCTGTGTCTCCGCCAATCCTCATAACCATCTTTTATAGCTGTCACAGAAAGCACAAACAGAAGAGGAAACAGAGACACAGTTCTCCCAAATACAGCAAGAGGCGGAAGCTGATTCAGAGCAGCGATAGCTAAAAAGTATAAATAGGCAACCCGATGAAACTGAATGAATAGGTTCTTCGGCAAGAAAGTTATTACTGTATACTTGCTAGTTCTGATCTCATTTCCACAGAAATCAAACTTATCATTAGTCTTTTTTGGATCATTAACATGGATCAACCTAGGGTTACTTCCATGTAATAAGCTATCCTCCAACTGCATGCTTTTCTGAAGAAGCCTCTGAGATTTGTTCAGCTTATCCTGGACGCGAGAAGAATCCCTAGACAAAGACGAATCACGGGTGGATGCTGCTCCAGATGAAGCCAACCTAGATGAATCACAGGATATTTCAAAAGCTGCTTTGTCATGCCAATGGTCTTCCGTTCCACTCCACGATACGAGGCGTTTCCTGTCCTTTGGGGGGGGGGGGGGGGGGTTGTTCTGATGAATGTGGCTGGTGAGCCTGAGGCTCGGCTGAATGGAAGTCCTTTTTACTCACAAGAGAAGAAGAATAGTGTTGTTCGTAAGGACGAGTTCTGGTTCAAAAGAAGGCTCAGACAGTAACAGCAATGGCTTGTAATGAAGCCAACCTAGATGAATCACAGGATATTTCAAAAGCTGCTTTGTCATGCCAATGGTCTTCCGTTCCACTCCACGATACGAGGCGTTTCCTATCCTTGGGGGGGGGGGGGGGGGTTCTGATGAATGTGGCTGGTGAGCCTGAGGCTCGGCTGAATGGAAGTCCTTTTTACTCACAAGAGAAGAAGAATAGTGTTGTTCGTAAGGACGAGTTCTGGTTAAAAAGAAGGCTCAGACAGTAACAGCAATGGCTTGTCGGAAGTCATAAATACTTCCACCGCCCGAAAGGCATTGGAAAGAATGAAACTAAAACCTCAATAAGTAAATCAAATCCCTAATATCATTCACAGATAGACCATCCAAAGAGCATTTTTGCTCACCCGTGGGAAGCTCGAGGTTATTGGTTAAGCCTTCACTCACTTTATCCTGGAACAATAGGCAGTAATTTTAATGGCGAATTCTCCCAAATACACCAGGGTGGGTCTTGCAGAAATCCAAAACCAACATCCAAAAACCAGACCTTTTTACGTTTCAACCCCACCAAGCCAGGGCCAATAATGAAATCAGCTGACAAATAAAACAAAAAGAAAATATGAAATTTTAAATCACATGAATGCTGTGGCATCCACCGACCCAAATAGGGCAAAACTGAAACAACTAAATCCACTCAGCAATAGATAATGCAATCAAATAAACGGACGTGTATGTAATTATTACGAGCAAAAAAAGGGCTAACCTGTGAGTCAAATGGGGACGAGTCTTGTCTTTTGTTCTGTCGTATCGTCTCGTAATTGGTGATTGAATGAGATGGATGCACTGAAAAGGAAATCAGAGAGGAAAATGTCAGATCTGAGGAACACACACATACACATACACATACACATACACATACACACACACAATGAAAGATGAATCAGCTTTATACAGAGCAAGAAAAAAGACAAACAAACCTGAGATTTCTTGTTCAATATGCAAAAGGCGGTTGAAAGTGATGGAGGAGAGAGAATATTGGGTTTTATAGTACTAGTATTATTATGCTGCTGCTTACGTGACTCGTCGGTCTCTGCTGCCTTCCTCCTCTTCTTGCCCCACCGCTGAAGTCTCGATCTGCATTGATAATTTGATATTGTGTAAGCTTCACTAATCAGCCCCAATTCCAAACCGAGATTCTATCTCTCTCAGCCTCACCACAACTCTCCTCTTCATTTCCCTGCTTTTTTCTTTTCATTTTTTCGTTACTATCACTGTCTTGTTTATTCTATTTTCCTTTGTCTTGTTTTATGCAATTCTTTTTTCTTTTGAAAAAAATCATATACGTAATTTTTATTTACAACTAATTTAACTTTAAATCTCTTATTTTATACTTAATGACATAATTTTACCGTTAAAAGAAGTTCTAAAAAAAATCTTAACTTTCATGTATAAGTAAACATTGCAAGAAGTAGTATTTATCTCTAATAATAATTTCCTTTGAATTTGATTTTGACGATTTACGTTTTTAAATTAGATATATTAAAACTTTTACGTGTATAAAACCATTGCTTGGACATTGCACTTTTCTTTCAATACTTTAGTGTATTCTTACACACATTATTAGTTTCGTATGATTAGAGAACTTTCTTATCATGCTAGTATTTTTTCAAATCAACTTTTGAACTAAACTTAACAAGGATGATAACGAAAACACAAAATCAAAGAAGTAAGCAACTGAAATAAATTTTAAATCCCATTTCTTGACAGAGAAAGGGTGCTCACGTGCTTAAGTTGTATATCTTCGTCACGAAAAGAATAAAGGAAGATTAGGCAAGATTACTATCACTCATGTGCAAAAGGATTGCATGCTAATCTTTCTTTCATTTTTCTTTTTCTAAAGGAAAATTTGTGTTTCTGGTGGTTTCAGTGATTATCAAACTTTAGTTTTGATATTTGTATCACGTGAATCAACAAATTTAACCGTCAATTAATATAAATATTATTTTTTTGTATACGGTCGACACCAGGTATGCCCGATTTCACGGGCTCGAAGTGTTGCTTCAAGCCCGAGTTCAGGATGGGTCGAGTTTAAGGCCGATGGACCAAGCCCGAGCCCGACGACAGAATATAGGGCTCGAAGATCGAAGTACGGAATAAGCGCCGAAGCCAAGTACGACCAACCCCGAGATGATGTCGTTGTGAGTTTGTAACAAAAATAGCAAGATTCCCGCCACGTCCCCAAGATTATGGCACAAATTCCAGAATAGATTTGTACGAGTTAGTACGAATCCGTACTAGGCGGTTAGACAACTGTCCCAATAAGATTCTTTACTGTAAATAGAAATGTACCTTATTTAGGGTTCCCCTACTATATAAAGGGGACCCCAATAATTTGTAACGATCATCAATCATTGGCAAAAGAATATACTCTCTTACTTTCTTGCTCATTATTCATCAAAATTGTCTCTTAATTACTTTATTGTCTTTACTTTCTTGTTCTTGTTGACCAACCACGAGGCCATCACAGCTCGAGGTCGAGACTTGCTTAAGCACTGGTTTGATTCAACTTTCTTCTCTAGTTTACACGTTTGATTTCTTAGTTATTAAATAGTATTGAACTAAATCACGTATCTTTAAAACCACAAACAAGTTTAATTGTTACTATTATTTTCGAGGTAAACAGTTTGGCGCCCATCGTGGGGCTAAAGATAATAGTGGTTATTTCAGTATGATTCTAATAACACACGTTATTTTCACACTTGTTCTTGTCAAGAATTTTTGTTCTCGGGTGAAAACATGTCAAACTCACAAAACACACCCGTACACGGTGATGATGGTCTTGGATTTTGTGGGAAAAACAACAATGTAGTTGCTCCGGGAGCCGGTGTTAGGGGTGTTCGTCGGTCGGTACAGTACTTAGACATTTCAGTTCGGTATTTTCGGTATTCGGTTTCTTAAAATGCTATACCAATACCGTACCTAATTAAATTCGGTATGGTTCGGTTTTTCTCCTTTCGGTTTCGGTTTATTCGGTTCGGTAACTTCGATTTATTCGGTTTGAATACTAACTAGTGCGTAGAGTCATAGACTATAATATTCTTAATTAAAGTACTCAAAAGTACAAAACTAAAAAGTACAAATATTTTGTCCAAAACAAGCAAATATCACTCGAGAGTGAGAAACAATACATAAAGAAATAAATTTGATCATTAGAAATGTCTTGTTACTTGCTTAGAGTTAATTGATGAACTTAGAGAATAAAGGAAAGTAAAATTTAAGATTTTTTATGTTATGTTAGAACTAAAAATATATGTATTGTGTAATATAATTTATATTTTAGTACGGTATCGATATTTCGGTATTTCATTTTAAAATACCAAATACCATACCTAATACCAGTTATTTTTAAAATTTAAACCAAATACCATACCGAATACCATAATATCGAATACCAAATACCAAAATTTTTTATTTCGGTACGGTAATTCAGTATTTACCAAATTATGCACAGCCCTAGCCGGTGTACCACCGATTAACCCTGGGGAAGTGCCAAATGTGGAACCAGTCGATGTTAGTTCACATATTGCTTTGAATGCGGATTTAGGCGCAGACCCCGGAGGAAGTGTACGCAGAGGAGTCCGATCTGGTTGCCAAAGAACACAGGGTGTAGGAGATGGGGGAGTTAGCCTCCAAGTAATATTCGAGATGCTACAAGCTCAACAGGTTGATATCGCTCGGCTTCAAAGTCAGCATAAAACTCCAAGTGTGGTTGAACCAGAAATCACTCGCCGTACTGAGACGGTGCCAGAAAGATCGAACGGTAATGGCTCGGGGACTGACTCCACGATTATGAGGATGCTCGAGGAACTCACCAAAAGAATCAAGTGGGGGAGAAAAAGATTGAGGATAATGACAAGAAGGTGGAAACATACAACTCCTGAGTCGATCAAATACTAGGGGCACCACCAATCTTAAAAGGAATGGATCCCAAAAAGTTCGTACAAAAACTGTTCCCTCCGAGTGCGGCTCCGAAGCCCATCCCAAAAAAGTATCAATAAATTCGGGGAGACTCTATCGAAGGGTGACTTAGAGCCTGTTTGGTCAAGCTTCTAGGAGGCCAAAAGTACTTTTTTGGCCAAAAAAGTACTTTTTGAAAAATTTAAGGTGTTTGGCCAAAATGAAAAAGTACTTCTTAGCAACAGCAAAAGCAGTTTTTCTGCTTCTAAAGAGAAGCTACAAATTGTAGCTTCTTCGAAAAAGTAGAAGCAGAAGCAGAAAGTTAATTTATTCAAGACAAAAATAACCTTACAATAAATTTATATTTTTCAAATTATCCCTCATTAATTTAATTTTTCTTTTTCTTTTCCTTTTCCTTTTTTTGTGGTATACATTTATTCTCTTTTTTATTTTAATCAAATTTATTCTCTTTCTCCTATTCTTAAGAGTAGATTTAAATTTATATTGAATGATGTATTTTGACATATTTAAATTATCATGTAAATAATAAGTAATACCAAACACTCAATATTGTTGCTTTAGAATAACTATATTTATATTAATTAGAATTTTTAATTGAACGTTTTATATTTTAATTGAATTCTTTTCTACTAAATGTTTAAATTTATTTTTCTTTTCTAAATAATACTAATCGCAAATTGAACCTTTACTCTCCTTTTTCGTAATTTGATACTTAAAAGTGCTTTTTTAAAAGATTGGCCAAACACGATGAGCTTGCAAAAAGCACTACTCAAACGAATCGGCCAAACACAAACTACTTATTTTGCAAAAGTACTTTTTCATAAAAGCGTTTTTCAAAATAAGTAGTTTTTGACAGCTTGGCCAAGCGAGCTCTTAATATGGTATCATAATTTATCCCATAATTCTATTGATTTGTTTGCTATGCTTTCAGATTCTTTTCTAAAGGCACATGCCGGAGCCATTAAAATTGCAACGAGGAAGTCGACCTTTTCAAGGTAAGGAAGAAAAATAACGAGATGCTCAGGGAATTCGTATCTCGGTTCCAAGCGGAGAGACTGGATTTGTCTCCGGTAGCCGATGACTGGGTTGTTCAAGCTTTCACTCAAGGTCCCAACACTCGGATTCCATAGCTTCGCAGCAGTTGAAGCAAAGTTTAATCAAGTACCCGGCTGTCACTTGGGCCAACGTACATAATCGGTATCAGTCGAAGATTAGGGTCGAGGATGATCAACTAGGAACTCCTTCGGGGTCCGTTTATCCTAACAGGCCCATGGATAGGGTCAAAAGGGACAGCGATCGAGAGCCGAGGTCGAATAGAGATCGATATCAACCGTACAACGGAGACCATAGAGGCAGCGGGTCTAGGCAAAGCTTTGCACGAAATGAGAGGAGAAATGATCAAGATCAAAATTCACAGGGGCTTGACGCCGAGGAAGATCACGTTAAATATCTGAATCCGAATAAAGGTACGACCCCATTCCAATCCTTTCTATTTTTTTTACTAACACTTGCAGGCTATCGACAAGGATCGGCACGAAGCTTTGGATCTTAAAGCACTGGTTGCACTCTTTTTCCCTTAGGCCGATTTTTGTCCCAATTGGGTTTTTCCGGCGAGGTTTTTAACGAGGCAACCATCGTTCGTGCTAACTTAGAGCAATTCAACAGTATCCGAGGTTTCCTACAACAAGCCTCGAGTACTGGGGGGCATTACCCTTGAATGTCTACTTTGTTGCAAGGAAATCACTTCGTGATAACGGGGTCTCGATAGGGAAATGTTGTAAGGGTCAAATGGTCAGATGAACCGTACCCGTGTAGGTTACTCGGGCCCTAACATCAAATATGCGCGCATGTATAATCATCTATTGAGAGAAGTATTTTTTTTCTTGCCGATATCTCCTGCCTTTAGAAAAATTTCCTATTTTATACTCTTGATCTATTGTGCAAACAGGCCTAAGGGCTGACCATGATAGAAGTTCGAACAACTAACCCCGCGCTTGAGGACTGTTGTCCAAAAAACAAACAAAATTGAACTACTAAAATTTCGAGTCCATAAGACCTTAGAGGCGACCCTCGATTTTACAGGCCACGGCCACCCCACTCGGGGATTGACACTTCGGGCAAGCTTGAAGTGAAACGGAAAATAAGCCCAAAGAGTAAGTTCCGAGCTAAAGAGGCTACGACCAAATTAACACGGATTGGAGATGTCCGAAAGCCGTAACAAATACAAAAGCCCAAGGGCTATCTTAACCCGAGTT